TTATATCCCTCCTTTAAAGGGGAAACAAAAACAAGTTCAAGGATCCCAATGAACCCAAGGAGACCCCTCCTTCAGCCTTTTCCTTGTTTTGTTCTGAGTATCAACCAAATATTAGAAGTGAGCACTGTGGCCTATCCACTGCTGATGCTGTAAAGTAGGTAGCAGAGATGTGCAATCACACAGCTGCAGATGACAAGCAGCCTGATGGAAGAAGAAATATGGAAAGGATATTGCTGCATACTGAGCTAAAGGAAAACCTAATGTGGCAAAAAGGGAGTTGCCAAGGCTGAAAAAAGCAAGAAAAAGATAGAAGGGAAGACAAGAAAGATGAAAAGGATGAAGGGAAGGAAGATGAAGAAGATGATGATGATGATGACTAAGTTGGCTCTAGTGGAGTCTTTTTCTTGTCTATAAAGTATTTCATATCCCTCGCCCCCGCAGTATACAACTCACTCCTTTCAAAGAAAAAAACTGAAATGTAAGGCTGTATAAGATTTGTTTTTAAGTTGTACAGCATTTTTTTTGTACAGCTAACACACTATCAAACATGTCTTCAGATAGCTCCGTTGTGGTGGTATTTTCAATAGCCACAAACTTGCCTGCAGTATGGGGGCTATAAATTGGTACAGAAAGTTAAAGGAGGTTCTTGCTGGTACATGACACAAATTAGTAATATGTGGGAATGATAGTTTTTCATCTTCAGTTGTCTCTGATACAGCTTATATGAAATGATAGTTCTGCTAACTGAATACCACTCTGTAATTATAGAAAAATGTTGAGCTGTTTTGTTGACATTCTGAATGCTTCTAAGTAAATACAATTTTTATTTAAAAAAGTAATATCAGATTACTCCCTCAGAAAAACATTCATAGGCCAAAAAGGAGACAAAACACTTTAAATTGAAAAGTCAGTGTTTGCGAGTCACTGAAGAAAATTTTATAGAATGAGAATATTTAAAACACTGAAAAATCTAGATTTAAAAACTTTTATTATTTATAAAACACAACATGTAGCTTAAATATCTATACCAGGAGCAAAGAGATTATCAAGGCATTTCACTTATAGTATTAACATATTACCAGTTTTCTAAGTAAACAATAACACTTAATATGTTGAGTGCACACTTCATATGTGAAAGACACCATTTTAGATTCCAAAAATGATCACTTAATCACAATTACACTTAAAAAACATTCAGAAAACCAAATGTCTTCTTTTTTGTCATTTATGCTTAATAAATAACAGTAAAGCTTAAAATCTAACTATGGCACATGAATCACACACATTGTAGTTCCTGTAAGAGTACTCAATGCTTTATATACAAAAATCAAATAGTTTTTTTTCATACAAGATTTAGGACACAACTTTTTATTTGTGTTATTTTAAATTTCAGTATTAAGAGGTAAATGGTGTTCAAGGTTTTTGAGTCACACATTTTGGTCGTTTGTGTTTAAGCAAAACTCTGTATGAATTATTATTGTAGGAGTAGATCCTCAGCTGAGAAAAGAAAGAAAACAGATCTGTAAGGACATGCAGTGGAATGTGCATGGTTTGGCTGGAAGGCTCACAATGAGGTACAAAGCTCACAATCAGACAAATTGCAGCACATAATGGCAAGAAAGTTAAGTCAACCTAACAGCACCAAAAATGAAACATTTTTGTTTTGTTTTAATCATGCAATTGTGGGCGGGAGAGAAAATTGATATATCACAGTAGTTTGGTTCTTAGTCTAAACTCACTGTTCATTTACAAATTCCTGAATTTCAGATCTTTGTAAAGGAAGCATAAGAACCCCCTGGAAACAGCAGCAACAAATACTACCTACCTACTATAGAATCCAAGTGATTTTAATTTCCTTAAAACTGAATAGCCTCAGTAAAGGTATCCAAGCACTTCTGATATATTTGTAGAAAAAAGAGAAAGGGAGACAGAGACAGAACAGATGAAAGGACCAATGACCACAGCAATCACAACCAGTATACACACAGTGTGCCAACCTTTGAAAGCCCCCACCCATGAGCTCTAAAACCCAAATGGGGCACAGGACCAAAGCCCAGGTACTAGCTGTGTGATCAACTCTGAGAGCAGAGAAAAGCATGCAACCAGGTAGAAGCTTGCAGAACAAAGAAAATGCTGGACCATCCCACCACCTGACCATGATTCTGGACCTATGAAGAAACTACAAACTAGTTAGACAAAACGTGCAGGAGACTCTGTCAAAAAGGTCATTATAATTATTAGCCTTGCCTACCTAAAGTAATCACCAAGAAAGAGGTTTATATTCCTTTTTTTACTTTTCCCATCATTAAATTTCTTTGCTAGTTTTCCGGGGATCTTTAAGTAGGGATGCAATCCATATTTAAACACAACACTTCCACTTTTATTTTAATCAGGTCTTATGTTATCCCAGTATAAAAAGTAATAAATCCCTCAGAAGAAACAGGAACATTAAACAAATGGCCAGAATTTCCAGGACTTCTGGAAGAGCTATCGTTTATGCATATGCCCTACAAGCCTGACTAACGAGAGTGTTTGGCCCCTAAACGGACAGGTTTTACACACATTTATAATGGCAAGAGTGCTTCAAGGGCACAGGCTGGCCAGGGTAGGAAGCCAGTAGAGTTTGGTTTAGTTATTTCAGACTGTAGGACTAACTTTGTAATCATAGCTGCTCCTTCTTTGGCTAATGCTCTTGAGTGGCTTTCTGGCTGCCACAAGCCTGTTAGGTTACTTCCGTTCCTACTCACCCTAAATGGGTTCATAAGGGCAACCCACCATCAAAAAGTGGCTGAAGACCAAGGCAGCAGCCCCAAGCACCTCCTGAGCATGTATGTGGGTATGGGAGTAGGAGTGGCAGAAGTAGCAAAACCTTCACAAAAACAAACTATTGTTGTTACTATGCTGAAATTCACAGAAAGAACCAAGTGGTTCATAGAGGCTCTCCATACCACAGCATCATCTACCAACTCACACTCATTCTCACCTGTTCTCTCAGATACATCCATATACACTCACACACATTCACATAAAGCATAATACACAGAAAGTGCCTATTCCTTTAAAACTGCTATAAAATTTACCAAATAAGCAACACAGCATGGACTGATTCTACTTCTGAAATAATGAATTTGTCTGGTACAAATTACAGGGAAAAAAATAACTAAGAGTCACATGATTTTTTTAAAGGAGAAATCCTTTCTTCTGTAATCATAGTGAAATAATGCAAATATCTGGCTGAATTAAAATAAGCTCCAAAAGTAAAGAAATAAATACAGGTATATTTTCATATGTATGTAAAGTAAATTCATTACTTTTTAAATTAAAGCTTTTATTTATTTATTTTTAGAGAGAGGGGAAGGGAGGGAGAAAGGGAGGAACATCAATGTGTGGTTGCCTCTCACATGGACCCCACTAAGGACCAGGACTGCAACCCTGGCATGTGCCCTGACTGGGAACCAAACTGGCAACCCTTTGTTTTGCAGCCCACGCTCAATCCACTGAGCTATACCAGCCAGGGCATAAATTCATTATTTTAATAAAGATAAATATATCTCCCTAAGGATCAATTCAAAACAGGACTTACTAGCCAGCGTGTTTAACACCAGCCCCACCCCTCACCTAGTCAAGCCAGCAACACTCACTGGTAACATTATGGAAGGAGGGCACCTGAGCAGCACATGGTCACCATTGACAAGGATGGGCACAGAAAGCAGGGGCAGGCTCCTCAGAATGTCAGCTCAGGCAGTGCTGTAGTGAGAACAGGAAGGTGCAGCTTTTCTACTGGATTTCAGCCCTTAGAGTCTATGGTTCTGGGCTACAGGTACCTCCCAAAGCAGATCCTGACTCTCCAATTGTATGTAAAAAAAAAAGTGTAAATCAGCCAAGTAAAATCTGTCTTGGAATAAATAAAATATAAGCCCACTAGGAGGAAGGTAGCAGGTTGGCTCAAGCAAATCAGTATGCCCAGATATGCAGTGTCCAAGAATGGGAGAACAGGCCAGCCAGGGCATGTGGAAAAGAGGAGTGCAATTCAAGGAGGCCAGGGCTACTATTAACTCTACAAACCGCAAAGGCAATAAGGGCCTACACAGTGGAGAAGCAGGCAAAAGAAAGTGAAGGTTAACATTGAACTATACAGTGTGTTTTTTTCCAAAAGGGGCTCTGGAATTCATTTTCAATGCTCCATGCTTGAACTGAAATGCCTCTCAACACTTTGTGTAAAATATTAATATAGCATATAGAAACAGTGGCTCTAGGATATCTCTGAACACAAATTAAGTAAATTAAATTTTTATAAGCCAACAGCAAAACCTGTATCTCAGATACTAATGTTTACCTTGAGGCTCAACCATTAACAACTTCTAAAATCCTTTAAAGTAGACTACTTAGAGTTCCTGTCACTAATTTTAAAAAGGCAACTTTTATATTTTTGTAATAATAACTTTTTTGACTAGTGTGGACTTTCCATGCGTAATGGAAAAAATTCTGAAGTCCTGCCAGACTACTCAAGATGACTTCCAAAATGCCAAAAACATGAGCTTTCTATAATAAATAACCTATCACATGTACATCTCAAATTAGAAAACTGGGAAGAAAACAATGTCATTTCGGTGCCAAAGTAGAGATTACAAAAGTCTGCCCATCCGGCAGAAATGTCCAACCTTTTGGCATCTCTGGGCCACACTAAAAGAAGAGTTGTCTTAGGCCACACATTAAATACACAAACACTAATGAAAACAAAAAGAGTCTCATAATGTTTTAAGTAAATTTTATGATTTTCTGTTGGGCCACATCCATAGCCATCCTGGGCTACATGCAGCCACAGGCCGCAGGTTGGACTCCCTTGCTTGTACCCCACCCCACACTTCACCCCCATTGGCTTTCTTTAGTCCCTTATAGAACAAACACTGGTCCAGGTGCAGATGCTTAATTCACAAGGAATGCAGAGAACATAAAAATGACTGTAGGTTTGGCTGCTGGTAATCCCCCAGGCTGCTCACCATTGGAAGTAGTACTGGAGGCCACGGCTTTCTCACTGACATCTGTTCGAGTTGAGCATTTCACTACAGAACTCTCAACTTTTTTCTTCTCAGTGGTCGGGGAGCTGTGGGACTGGGCCTCCATGATGCCTTCTCATTACTTCAGCTGTCTGGTACCAGGAACACCTACATAACATAACAGGCGCCATTAACTTCAAATAAGAGTAGGAAAAAATCTCACTCAAAAGCACTTCCCCATCACCTGAGGAGGTGCCTACAGCTTTAGCAAATTCAAAACCTAAAAGAGCCTTCCCTACATGTTTTCTTGCAAAAATGCCTCAAAGTTTTATTAACAAGCCAGTCAAATTCTGTCTGCATGTGCAAAAGAGGAACAGGGGACAACGTATATTATGTGGGACTTATCCCAAATTCCTACTAGGCATTCGTTATTGAATGGTCCAAATATCTCAATTTATAGCTGTGTTTATAGTGTGAAGCCCCAGTGTGACACAATACTCTTTTAAGCCACATCTACAAATGTCTCTTCAGGTGGCCAACTTTATAGAAAGGGGCATTAGGACAACTTTCCAAGCAGGAGAAGGTTTTTAATTAATTAGATGTTTTAAAGAGCATGCAACCATTTCTCCAAACCAAGCCCTACACAAAGTTCTGAATCAGAGGATAATCTGGGTAAAGAAGCCAGTGATTTTTGCTTTCTCTCACTGAAATATCTTAATTGCAACACTCCTCTTAATCCTAATATATTAGGTAAACCAATTTCTTTAAGCTTTCTTAAAACTTATGGCCATGTCAATTGGAGTTCTATTTTTTCAAACAAACAAAGTTACTAGGACAACACACTCACAATCCTATAGAAAGTCAAAAGACTACCAACAGCAAAGACTGGAACCACTTAAGAAATATTAAAACTCTGCTAAAGGCAAGTTCAGTTAGTTCACTTTTCACTGACTTCATTCATGTGATAATCACCCTAACTCATCATTCACCAATTTTCACTTTCTTTTTTTTGCAGTCATGCTATACCCGTATAAAGACTACAAGGAAAGATGACAAGCAACCTCTCTGGAATGTTTTCTTCCAGCTATCTAGATTATAACATTCATGGTGGGCATTTCTTCAGTTGAATCATCTTGTCTCTTTTCTACATTTAGCAGACAAAGCCACTGTGTTCAATCGAAACAACAATTAGTGAGCTAAAATAAGCAACTGTTTAACGAACTAAAAGAGTTAAAATGTCAGATGAAATATTTTTAGTTATTCTTAACTCAGATTTGCAAGAGAACAGCAGATTCTTTATTATACAAGAAATCTGGAATTCAAGTAACTAAAAGCTTAAGACCCAGAGGCACTATAGCACTAGCTTTTCCACTAACTTCCATTTCTTTTCCTTGATTATCCAATGTCATTCACTGTAAAACACAAAAGCTATTGAAGAACAGCTTTTCTGGAATAAAAAAAAAAAACAGGCACAAAGTCAAATTTACATATCAAGTATAAGATCCACTCCAAATTCAGAAACATCCTTCAAAAAGCCAGTGTGAAGGAGCTCACAATGTCTTTTCTCAGAGCTGCTACCCTGCACAAGTTCAGTGTGAAGCCTTGTTTCTGGCTACCTGAATGGAATTGTTCAGTGCCTGTTTTCTCATCTGTCACATGACAGAATCAAACGGTGGGACTTAACCTTGGGGGGCAGGGGTGCGGTCCTCTTTAAGAATATGTTAAAACTTAGGGAGCTTCTCCCTAGAAGAATATCCTTAAACACAAAAGAGTACATTTAATTTTAGAGGGAACACAGGCCCTCCAAACGTTTCCATGAATCAGGATAAAGAACTCTGGAGGGAGAAATTTCAACGGCCCCTTCTAGCTCTAACAATCTCAGAATGATTCTTCAATTTTTTAATACTCACCCAAAATTGACTTAAATATCATCTTTAAAATATGCCACAAGATCAATTAATCCCCATCCACAGCACTGTTCATCAGAGTGGCACAGGAACCACCTGACTCAGCACTGCCTCAGAGTCTGTGAACCCCTCAGACTAGGGGGTCCAATCCCTGGTATTTTGGAGAGTGGCACCAGGGTACCTGCAATACAACCAGCACTAGTGATTATGAGGCCCACTAAAGCTTGCAAACAACTGCTCTATACATTTTTGTTCACTACTATGTACCCAGTGCAATAGGTACCTATTTAAGTCTTAGCTGACTAAATAAACTAAGGAGTTAACTGCACCCCAACTAAATTCCAACAGTGTACATGAGCCTAACCCAGCACCTACCACAATGATGAACACCTAGTCTGGAATCTTTGCTGAAAGTCACTCCTCCCTGCAGATAGTAAGCTCCATGATGACAAGCCCTTAGCTATCTTCCCAGCACTTCATACCCCTAAGAATGTATACTGAGTAAATATAAGGTACAGTGATGACCCCAGGACCAGATTCTGCAATGTCTTAAATCTTAAATGCCATTGGTTTATCTATGTATCTTCTATACCTACAGTGTTTCTTTCAAAACTGGCAAATTACATAAAAACTAAAAACTTTAACAGGAATATTTAATTAATCAGAACACTCTGTTCTCAACCACTTTGGATAAACAGGCATTTACTATCCTTGTTTCCCTCAAAACACTGACTTTTATTGGCTGAATATGAATGGAGTTTATTAAATTCAAACTGCCAACAGAAACAAGCCAATGGACCAGAAAAACCCATGAAGAGATGGAATTCCTGGTAAGAAGTCAGTCTCTTCCTTATTAGATGGAGCTAATTAACAGTAGTGAAGGACAACTCATCAAAGTTCCTTGACAAACTTGGTTTTCAGAGTTGCTGGTTTTTACCCCAAGCAAAGGACTTCATTTTAACAAAGCAATAAACCCTCCAAATACTCATCACCACAGAGAGGGGCTCATGTGAGATGAGGTAAAGCCCCAGGCACTGACTGAAATCACGCTAATTAATGGTAGTAGAGAATACTAATTCCTATCCTTCACTCCTCCTTTGAACTGAATTTTTTAAAAAATAGGCCCTTAGTCACTCAAGAGTGTACCTCCTTCTTCTATTTTGACAACTTATTTTTTGGATCTCATTAGTAAGTAACTAATTATTTAAAAGTGTGGCCTGTGTTTAAAACAGGGCTATAAAAATGGCAACTTGCCAAGGCAGACATCTGCTTCCTGTATATCCCTATAAATTATATCAGCTTATTTTACTGATAAAAACACTACTTTTTCCCTGTCAGTTACAAAGGAGAAGTTTTAACATTCTAGACTCTCACACCTCATCAACACTCTGCACTAAGTTAGTGAGCAGAAAAGAGAATCTGCTTCTAGCTGTGGTGGTGGTTTTTTCATACAATATTAAGCCAGGCTGAGAAACTCAGTCTTGAGCTGACACACAAAAGCCTGAGGTACAGAAGTGACCAGTAAAAATTCCTGATGAAATCCTGAGACATACATAATTGGGACCATAGCCCACAGTAGTGCTTTTAAAACCTGGAATTCCCTAAACGATGAAGTACAACTTATTTAGAATATAACAATCAAGGAAAACTTTCTGGTTCTGCTTCACTTTAAAGAGTTTTCTCTAAGGGAAATGCAAGTTTTTTCGATGTGAATGAAACAAGACACTTTCGAAACCACGTTTTCTTACATCTCCACACTGTTCTCCTTCAATCCCTTTCACCACTGAAACATTCCATGCAAAATTTGCTGGCATGCCCCTTGACTTTTTACGCTAATGGGGAAAAAAATTGCAGCTGATGTGAGTCCCAACAACTTGAGTATATTTAAAAAACTGCAACCAAGGAAAACTGTGCTAATAGTGTATGCCTGCTAACGCCCAGAGTCTCAGATAAATGGAGGAGTAAAGATTCTTTCCTGAAAGCAGTCATGGATTTTCCCCACTCAATTGGCTCTGAACCTTTTGTAATCTCCTGGAGTTTAAACCCTGGGCACCGTGACTTCCAGACCCCGTTTTAAACCCAATCCCTCTCCTATTAGCAACCTGCCTGCAGGTAGGTCTTTTCTATTTAAATTATAAATCTGAACTTGCTTAGACCTCCTATAGACTTAACTGACCAGGTGCCAGAACAGATGATGCTACAGTGTAAGCCTGTACTTGCAAGTCAAAAAAAAAAGCAACACTTTCCAAAGTCTAGAATTCTTGTGGGGACATTTAACAACAAAAAACCTAAGGTGGCGCTACCTGTAGAGTTGCCACTAAGGCTGCAAAAAAACCCCAAACTTTTATCTTTGCAAAAAAGTCGATTGGAATCGTGGTTTGCCTTAAGCTGTGGAACTGGGTAGTTTTATTCTGAGCGCTGGCCTTCTGCGCGTCCAACCTGAGCTCCCTGCACGTGTCGTCCCTCAGACTGTTCCAGGGTCCGGGTCTTCACACCCTGACCGCTTCCCCACCCGGAGGCCTGCCATCTGGTCTCCGCCTTGTGGTCGGGACTGGACGTTAGCACAGTCCTTAAGCCCCGCGCCGCTGACTCTGTTCCCTTCGCTGCGGTGCCCAGGGCCGGAACAAACACAGGCCTGGCTCCTCGAAAACAGCAGGGTGTCGGGGCCGAGGATGGAGAGGGTGCAGGGGGCGGCACCCGACCCAGTTCCCATCCGCATTCCCGCAGCGATCTTCCTGAAAGTGCAAAACTGGGCAGAATAATCAGAGCCCGGCAGGACCTCTGCCGGCCAAAGATGTGCCCCTTATCACTTTCATCAGGAGGGTTATCTGCTCCACAAGAATATTCTAATTAGGGTCCCGCAGCATTTACAGCAGTTAGTTAACCATAGCAGGCCTGCTTTCATTTGCAAGGCTGTTTTATCAGCTGAATACAAAGGTGCAACTTTCTAGGTACTTTGTTACACCCTGTGTGTTGCACTACAAAAAAACACTGGGAACACTTAAAGTCTTCAAGAAACCATGGACGTGTGCTTCACTCACAAAACTTGTAACTCACCATCCATTCACCTGGCCCCCAAATACTGTTTCTTCATTAGCTGCCGTAAATAGATTCAGGTGCTGTGAATGGGTCTGGCACAGACACATCTCATTGTGTCTCGGGGAGAGAGGACCTCAGTGGAGTTCCAAAGTTCAACCTTACTTATGAAGCTTTTCTGTAGTAAATCGAGAGCATGAAAAACCAAAAGGTGCTCTCGATTTA